CGGCGTATTTCCTTGTAATCAGCGATAACCGAACTTTCCTCATCTAAAAAGAACCTATTGACAAAACCGATGGCAGCATTCAAGGGCTAATAGGCAGCGTTGCATTCTCGATTAGCATCGTACTCAATCCATCTTCATTGGCGCGCTCGGCATACCGAACTGCTCATCCTTGAAGAGCAAGTTGCACATATACAAGCAATAAAATACACGCCGACTGTATCTACTTTTGGAGTCGGTGCAAATGGTTCACATCAAACTGGTCGTCAACAAACCGGATCTCTGCCTCTGCTCAATTGATGCTTTGGCGATGATCTAAGATAGCATCGATACATTGCAGAATTTTAGGTGTGGGGACGTACCAAACAGACTCGCACTAAGGCGCAGCGATTATGCTGCAGACCAACGAAAAAACTCGGCTGTTTTAGTTTGCGGGGGAGCGACATCAGTAATTGAACGTATCACTCAGCACCATTCGAGCCAGGCAATCGACTTCGATACTGGTTCTCTAATTGTGAGGGCGGATAAAACGACCGTCAGCCATTCCAGATGCATTTTTTTTTGGTACCAACAACAGATCAACTCGTTTTGCGGCCCATAAACATTAAAATATGAAATAAATTGTTGGATACAAAGAAGCCTTTTCTTAAATATTAACATCACTCAATATTAAACGTAATAGCATGAAGCAAATACAGGAAGCTATAAAGCTGACCTCGCCTCATCAGACTACAATATCAGCGATATGTTAAACACAGGAAAACTGCCGGTAAAATTGGGCCAGCTCCAGGGCGCAATAGCAGGTGTCTCGCGGCCGCCAATCCACTGTAGGCGTTCGGGCCGGTCTAGCCTCTTACGAAGCAAAAAAATTATTTTGCTTTTATGAAAATAAAAAGCATACCAATCGACTACAAAATGTCCATACATTATATAAATGACCGTTATCTGGTCATGCAACAACTTGGTATAGGGTGAAAGGGGCTTCAAACACAAAGATTTCTTAGGCCGTAGACAGGTCATAGTTTTCGGGTGTTTGAAAAGTCAAAGTAGATGCCATGGGGATCCTATGTACGTGAGTTTTACACGCCAATGTTTTTATGAGTTGTTCTGTGACATGTTACGATCAATTCCGCGCAACGAAAAATGAGGTTGCGAAAATAATTTAGCAGCATGAGAGATAAATATATCATCGAGTTATTTGGTATGCTTAAAATTAATATCACTCTCTATGTTAAAGCCGATCCTTTGAGTTCCCCCAGGTCCCGCTCTAAATCGTGTGTCACAATGTGCATTGTGATGTTATTGAACCGGCCAAGCAATAAAAAAGTGCGCAAACTTGCGCCATTTGCTGCTATGCAACATTTTGCAATACGCTGTCTAGCCTTTATTAGCTCCATGGTGACGGGAGGGAACAAATCAGCCTGCATTTTAGCTTATATTATTTCAAGTGATGACAGTAACACCAGCCAGTGTTATCTCGTGGGTCAGAAGCATTCTAATTGACCGGAGGATGAGCTGTCACGTGACCGGAAAGGCCTCAGGCGATGCACAGTGGGCGATCCGTCCGGTCTGGTCTCGCGAAACCTCAAACACATTTTGTTTCCAAAAAAAATGAGAAATATTGCACATGAGTTAATGGGAAATTCTGCATAAGTCGCGCCCCCCCCCCCCCCCCGAGGCCGAGGGGGGATGCCACCTCCTTATCGGTTTTATCGCGATAGCTCACAACACGCCGGAGATAAAGAGCTGAAACTTGGCATACTTGACCTTTGATTCAAGCCAAATCTTGTTAAATCAACCACATTTTCAGGTCAGGCCAGGTCAGGTCACTGACCTATGACGTCATAAGTGAACCTCTGCACGGTCCTTAGATGTTGCAACGTCGCAACGCCCTCAGTGCCAGAGGGACGTTCACAGGGAGATGAAGCTTACACAACGTAGCATCGTCCAGAGGTCTCACAACTTGTATATCTCAGATTTTTTGCTTAAGTTCATGTGCGGTTAGGTCGGTCACGTGATCTCACCGTTATACGTCAATGAGGGAAATATCGAAACTGTTATTTTAGCGCCAGGAATGATCTAAAACTATCTCAGGCACATGGAATCATGGTTTGATTCGCTCCCTGCAAGGTACGGTGCTACACCTTTGCATTGCTGACCTTGCATGACGTCATTCACGATGTCATTAGGGCCATATTAGTTTTCCGTCAATAACTCCGGAACAAGGTGAATTAGACAGTCGACCTCCTTTGACCAAGTTCGTGACATGACGGACTCTGACCAAACTTTGACTCGAGGTCAACGACTCAAAACCGTAACCCTCGCATTTGTAGGGGGTCGAACGGACCACCCTCGGTTTTTCGCGAATAACTCGCGTAAAAAATGGCCGATCAAGACGAAACTTGCAGTACCCTCGAGTTATTCAATTTTACACCTACTCTAAAAATTTCATGACCCTGATCCAAATGACCTTTGACCTGTGACCTATTTCTCGAGACCATGCTTGGCCGGAATCGCGATTCGGTGTATATGTCGGCTCACATTATCCGCGCGTTTGCAGTCTTTTTGTGGTTGCAAACGCTCAACCATGTGAAATGATGTTGGTCCCATGCATTATGCTGGGTGTCAAGGTCACCAGAAGGTCAGGTCAGGTCATTGACCTTTGGTGACCTAAGTTCACTTTTTCGACTTTTACATGTTTCTAGGCCAGTTTTTGGAGCTGATTTCGAATTTAGCAGCCATTTGAGCATTTACGAAGTAGTTTTGGTGCCTTCGTATCATGTTACGAGGCTGTCAGTAGCGGTTGACACCTACTATGAATACCCGGCAGGACGCATACTGGTTGACCTGACCTGACCTGACCCGACCTGGCATAAATGCATGAAGAAATCATCTGTGATCAAAACTAGCATGAAATTCGTGATCAGCACCCCGAAAAGCCCCAAAGCAACCTCACTTTACGATGTTTTAACAGGTTCCGATTTTCACGACTTTTGGGTAATTGACCTGACCTGGAAGGTCAACTAATGACCTAGGACCTTACAATTTGGTAGCATCGGCTTCCTCTCATCACGGGCAGCACGCTCACTTTTTCCGCGAAGCTCTAGCTCAATCAGGGGCCAAACGGCAAGGGGGATGGATGTGCTCCGTTTTGCCACGTTTATGCAACATTTCATGCATGTTCCTGCGTATTGCGAAAGCTTATCACATGGGAAACGTCATGCATTCACGTTCATAAATGAATTTGCTACAGTTTGGTGTGTAATTCGTAGGCGTAGGTCTCCTAGATCCAAGGCTATAAGGGTTGAAAGGCTGTGAGAGGCTAGAACCCCTGAAACGCCCACTGTGCAATCGGGCCAAGGTCCAGGCCGAACATCACCAGATCCCAGTAGGACCGGCTCACACCACGGTCGTTGGGAAGGTGTAGGAACATAAAACGACCCTGCCTGTGGCAGGAAATGGTGGGTTTCACACCTAGCCACCGCTAACATGGCAGCGTGAAGACCGTGGCTAGATCGGGTCAAGGGTAGCACGCAATTCGTACCGGGCTTCTGATGACTTTAATGCTTTCGCATTTCACTATTTACTATGCCACAAAGATCGAATTTACAAGCACTCGATATGTTCCTTTCAGAAGACTTAATTGAAAGGACACGAAACTGTTAACTGTACGAAATGTATCAACGCCAATCGCGAGTAAACAAACCTTGTAGCTATTGCTTTAATAAAGATGTTTCCGTGATCAGCAATATTGCTAGGCGCTAGCCACTTAATAACGTTATTTTATTTTACCTTTTTGGGTAACTCTGGCATGGATATAGCGCTTCTCGCCAGCTCCAGGTTCCTTGAAATAGAACCGAACCAGGATTTGCTACAAGACAACATGTACGAAATGACGCCCGACATTAACCCGAGGTGGTTCCGAGGAGAGACTTTCGAAAAAGCTTCAACTCCAAGGTCGACTCCATACGACACGCAATCGCAGGAAAGGGCCGCATGGTTTCACACTCTGCGCCACTTCCTCGCGCCGCGTTACGGTATATTATAATATCATCACCCATTCGATAAGACGAGCCGCTTTGGAGGCATACGGTATCGTTCGTATCAGCATATATCGTTTGAGTGTTCTTTTTTCTAGTCCATCCAACGGTTTGGAGCGCTCTGTCCGATAGTGACCGACACAGACTTATGCGGACCCAGGGCGGCCTACGCTCAAACAATGGCTATAATCGCACCGAACCCCGCCGGTTCTAAGACCACGCGTACACCGAGGTATGTCCATTCTTTTCAAACAGCTAGCTGGGCCACGGGCCGCCGGTTTTCTGTACGGTCAAACAGGAAAATAGCATACAAATACCCTACAGTCGTGCGTACAATAAAAATGGCCCCGTTTGATGGCACCGCGTAGGGGCGTGACATGGCGATTTGGGGTGCAGTGATGTCTCACGTCACTGTTGTAGACTGACGGCTGTGACATGACGCCCATGAGTGGTGATCTCAGATGCACTGACGCTACATCACTATTTTCACAAAAATTAGCTCGAATGTTTGAATGAACGGATCAGCAGAGCCGGAGCCCATACTGAGCAGAATTAGTCGCGTAAACTCTGACCCTCTTACTGTTTGCCTGACTTGAAGACATAGGTGGCGGAACGGGGGGGGGGGCACTGGGGCACCGTGCCCCCTTGACTTTGCCATTTTAACATTAGCCCTAAGGACGTTGCATGGAAAGAATGGGACCAAAAGTCGGCAGTGCCCCCCCCCCCCCCCCTTAACTGAAGGTGTTCCACCACTACTCGCTTGGAGTGACCTTATCTAGCATATCCAGTGACGTAGCGTCAATGTCCCACAGGCCGTATGTTATGACTAGTAGTGACCTTCCCTTCCCTGGCGTATTCAGTAACGCGGAGTCGATGTCTTACAGGCCGTCTACTGCGACTCGGCGCCTTAGTCTCCTTCCTGGCATATGTAATTATGTAGTGACACCAAGCCCACACCCACAGGCTGCCTCCTGTAACTCGGCCCCGCAACTGTCCGTCCTCCCGCCGTCTCTGAGGCTGGGTCGGCTGCTCGAGCAGGCCGTCGAAGACGCAGAAGATGAGGATGACTACGACGACCTTGAAGGTGAGCAAGATTACGTCCCTACAGTTAAGCACCGACAGTAAAATGAGATCGTAGTAGCATAATGCGTTTCCACGTAGCTAGAAGGTACTCCAGGCACAGCGCCTAAGCAGTCGCTGAAATACAGTAGGTAAGTCTTGTTCTTGATATAGAAGCATGCTGCTTTTGATTGTTTTATTCCAACATGATTTCGGTCAGCACCCCGCGCGCGCGCTCCCCCTCTCTCTGTCTCCCTCTCTAACCAGCCGCCCTTTCTCCACAGTGCCTGACAGCCAGTTTCCGTCCATGCCGGTCTCGTTCGCTACGCTCACTGCCGACGAGGCGGTGGTACGGGGAGGCTGCGCCGCCGGCCTGGTGCGCTGTGCTAGCGCCTGCTGTATGCTGCTGCTGCCGCGCCGGACCACCCGCTGCCCGCCGCCGCTCAGGCGGGTCGGTGTTGGTCTCTGCCTCTGATAGGGCTGAGGCGGCGGCGACGGGAGGAATCGGGCATCGACGACGTAGTGATGGACAGTAGCAGACAGGCTAAAGATAGAAGCGAGCAATGGCTAACGAGCGACGGCCTCGGAGGTGGCCCGTCCAAACGAGCCCCTGATATCAGCAAGGCTCTCGCCTTTGCCCAAGAGCGCCGACTACGAACACTAGCGCCACCAGCCAGAAGTCGCTTCCAGTGGCACTGAGCGCTGCAGTCTACCCGACAGATGTCACCCGGAGCGTTTCTGAGGAATGGAGCTTCATGACCAACAGAAAAGACAGGCCCTGTACAGGAGGCTGTACTTGACGGTAGAAAGCGCCGTCTACAGAGCGGAGCCTGTGGTTCCTAGAATAGATACAGTAGGGCAGTGGCAGCCAACCAAAGTCACTTCACCACTGCGTGGTTCCTAGATTGTTAGCAGTCACGGTAACTCAGGTACAACTCAGCTGAGATAACTCAGGCAGAACTCTTGTGGCGCTCAGGTTCAGAGCAGTAGCGCAGCTCGGTATATCAGCTACTCGTAGATCACGTGACTCGCAGCTGCCTCAGTGTACTAGGCATGGGTCAGAACACGTGACGACTATTACGAAAAGGGATCACCGCTTCAAAGTATCAGCAGACCTAATATGATCCCGGTGGGGACTTAGGGCGCCACTGTCTTCCGACAGCAAACGGTAAGGTGCAGTTGCGTCTACCAGTGGCGGGAATACAGTGTGCCGGTGTTCAGCTCTACGGTATGGTCACCGTCGTGGGTCGTGGCATGTGTGCGGCTTTGACATGAATACAGTTTGATTTTATGCTTAACGGATGGTGTGTTTTTATCTATGAGGGGCTGATCACCTGAATTGCCTTGAATTGCCTTGAGAATCTACAGAAAATATCTGATCTCGGGCTGACCTGACCTGAAAACTGGCCTCGCCTACTCTTGATCTTGAGCGACTACCACGACGAAAGCTAACAGCAGACTACTTTTCACCGAATGCCCGACTAAATGCCAGCCCAGAAACTACTCGCAATGAAAAACGACCCATCCACGATCCTAAATTAGTGCCAGGATGACCTTGATGACCAAGCAGCCTGTCACTAACCGGTCATTTCGATTCGACCTGACCTGACCTGGAGACTGACCCCTCCCTGACCGCGGAACTGACCTGGAGACCGTGCTGACCCACACTGACCTGGGAACTGACCTGGAGACCGTGCTGACCCGCCCTGACCTGGGAACTGACCTGGAGACCGTGCTGACCCGCCCTGACCCCGGGACTGACCTGGAGACCGTGCTGACCCACCCTGACCGTGGAACTGACCTGGAGCCCGTGCTCACCCACCCTGACCGTGGAACTGACCTGTTTGCCGGCCGGCGCCGGCCGCTGGATGCCCAGGTCGGTACGCTGGTTGTACGACTCGATGAACAGCGATAAGTTGGCGCCGTTGGCCGACTGGAACTGGCTCCGGTACTGGTGCATCAGGTCGTGCGAGGCCTCGTCCAGCTAGAGGGTGGGAGGAGAGCACGGACGAGTGAGTTACTTCATTACCGAGTGAGGCTGTGCGCGTTGAAACAGAACACGCAGCCACAGCCACAGGCACAGGTATGTAATCCATAAAAGAACGGCGATGCCGGTACATATCAAACCGTGCATGATGTAGCGAAGCAAAGGGTGAAATATGTACGGTTCAGCAAAACATGGTTACGACCAGGTAAAGTCGTACGGATACGGATCAGTCTCGCCCCTAACGCCACCCTGGCACCCTAGCACGGCACTAGCGTGCTTCCCAGTCCCCCCAGCCACCGGCCAGGATCGCGCACCTTTCCGAAGTGGTGCCACATCAGGTAGTCCATGACACCCTGCGTCATGCCGGAGCTCCTCAGGTGCCGCACGTTCATCTTCTGGTAGCCCCACTCGATCCAACCGGGAGGGGTGCACACGGCATTGATCAGCACCAGACACTCCATCTGGGGGAGGGAGGAGGTGTATGTCACTCACTCCGTAATCGCCACGCCATATGTGGAAGGCTTTTGACGTCAATACATACATACATACTCGAGCAGGACATTCCATCTGTGAGGGGGACCAAGTCAGTCACCAGTACCACACACGGCACCACCCACTCAGATACACGGCATTGAACTCTGTCCCCACACACCATCTGGGGGACACCAAAGCAGACACATAGAATAATCCAGCATTAGATTGAGTTTATCTGAGGATACCAAAACCGATAAACAGCAGTAACCATTTAAAGACACCAGACACCCCAACTGAACGAGATTACTATGTCGTACAGAGTTTTCAGCCCAGCCGGCACCCAGCAAGCCACAGCGGTAATGTCATGTGATGTGATTTGTGATTTTAGGGCGCTTAGACTTCAGAGGTCATCGGCATCGCAGCGGTCGGGACCGATCATGTCTCACCAGCTCGGGATGAGCCAGACACAGCCGTGAGAGGATGTTTCCGCCGGCTCCGACGCCCAGTCCCACGCAGCGTTTGAGCTGCAGTTTTTCGATCACCTCCCTGACCTGCTCAGCCAGCTCCTCACAGCTGGGGTACACGTACCTGTGAGCGAGAGAGGAAGGCGTGAGACGGTGCACGGTACGCTGTCGAAAATTCTCAAACTCGTATGGCACTAAGGCAATCCGACGAGTAGACGATCAGAAGACCAGAAGATCAGATGATCATTTGATCGCCCTTGTGAGACGATCTGACTTATAGATAATCATGCGATATAGCAATACAAATACAGCTGGCATTCCAGCATAGCAAAGTGTCAGAGCCAAAACGCATGTAACAAAGTGATGCAGCAGCATGCAAGCAATAACGTTTACTAATTTAATTTTAAAGATTTAAAGAAGTCAGTGTCAGTAAAAGTGGCAGCACCACCAAACCGTACCCTTCCGGCAGTGTCTTTGCGCCGGGCTCCTGCCCAGGGGCGTTGATGTGAACGAAGCTGAAACTCTCAGCCATTATCTTCATGTCTGGATAGTTCATGAAACTCTGGAAGTTGGCCACATCTGAAACATAACACAGACAGTTATTGGACTGACAACTGACAGCGGTGAAATATTCGGGAAACAATTGACGCCACAGGGAACCCTCACTCACTGCATTTGAAATCAGCTCTTATGTCTTCTACGAGGCGTGCACCACATACCACAGACTGCATTATCAAGTAAAAGCACCAACATCCCAAATCAAAAGCACAGTGAACTCGGTCAGTGCAGCCCCCATTTGACCCGGAAATCATCACAACTTAAAATATTTCCACGATTTGTAAAGTCTAGGGTTCCACCGACCCTTTCTTGATCCCAGCACCCAACGTTGAGCAGTTGGCACTGACGCCCCCAGTTGCAACACAGTTGTCCACAGTTGTCCTCACGACCACAGTTGTTCTACGAGAACAGTGTTACTATTCTCGTAACACAGACACAGAGCGCCCCACAACCCCCGCCGCCCCACCGTACTCACAGTTGAGTCCCAGGTCGTGGTAGGTGACGATGGTCGGTTTGTGCAGGTCGCCCTGAATGGCCACACAGATGGAGCCGCGACTGGTCTCCACATACTGTTCGGCACCCAGCGAGCCATCACCGATGGCCACGCGAGCCTGCGGCTGGTGCAGGTTCACCGAGCGGAGTTCAATGTCATCCAGCGGCGCTCCGCTGTGAATAGGGGGACAGAGGGGACACTGGTTACGAGAGAGGCTCGAAGAGCGGGCGTATACTGTACCACAGAGACCAGCCTGTAAGTGGCCAGGGAAGGACACCGGTTAGATACACAGGTGGGGCGCTACGCTGTAAGTTAGGGGACAGGGAGGGACACTGGTAAAGTGAGTGCAGCACCCAACTGAAAGTAAAGAGACGGCCGAACCACTGGTCAGAGGGGAGCAATGTGTGCACGAAGGCAGGGATGACCACTGGTTAGCTAGGCGGGATCGCCCCACTGACATTGAACACAAGGGCCACTGCCGGCCACAAGGGTAGGAGCTGCCGTCATTTGCTGGCAGCCCAGACACACCATCCATTGTTGTCAGCGCCAGTGGCCAGCGCCATTAGTTGGTCAGAGCCGCCCGTGCCGATCGACGAACGCCACTCGGCGAAACATCGGCACAACGGATATGCGCACAAAACGGAGTTCGATCCGGAGCACACTACCATAACTGGCTACTATTGATGGGTCATTGTGTGATATACATAGCTGTTAAGTAGCAGGTGGTTAACAATATTCCCTACCGTGCTGCTCTCGCATACTTCTTAGAGGGAGGCTGAGCCGATGGGCCTGGTTCCCGGCGCTACTGACCAGTGGCTGGCGGGGTAATCTCGGTAACAAGGAGCCGACGCAATGAGCCAGTGAAGCTTAGTAACCCAATCAGCGCTGTCGCTGGCACCGGGAGACACCCAATCTGCCGGGCCTCGGCCTTGATCACCGGCTCTGGGAGTTGGCCAGGACAGGGACAGAGTTTGGGAAGGCACGGAAGCAGGACAGAAAATGAAGGGGACAGGAACGAGGTACGGGCAGGGGAAACGTCAGGGACAGGAACAGGGACAGGGTGACAATACGTATGCGGGTTCTAGTTTCGTATATGGCTTCACGCTTGTTCTGGATCACGAAAAAATGGAACCAGAATAACAGGCATATGGATCCCACCAGTGTCTCGTGTAGCGTTCATATCCCACTAGATATAATATCACAAGGTTTGACAGGCAGTGATACCTATAGAACCTAGCTCAAGTTGAGTAGACTGTGGAGTGAAACGGAGCTCGAAGTTCGTAGTGCCAGTTAAATGAAATGGCACTTCAGTTTAGTAGGGGGTGCCATGCAGCTGGCTTTGCATTATGATCACAGCCAGGACTCGGGAATACGTTATGATATTGCACTGACAACATAAATAAAGGCGTCGCATGATAGCGACCGAGGAATGTTTCGTGGAATACCATTATGCAAAAGGACAGCTTTCAGCAGACTGCAGTCTGAAGTACACCCAATAGGTATTACTGAAAGCTAGAGAGCCAATCAATAAATTACAAAGTCAGGTGTGCCATCGTCCCACATCGTTAACTAAATTACCAACATACGCAGCCACTTCCCGACTTGGCAGCCATTGGAACCAGCTATGAGTCTCTTTGGCGTGGAACCCTGACAGTCGAAAATGCCAACAGCCACGGTGAGAGAAAAGGCCCAGTTTGCGGAGAATTGCCACTCATTGAGCTGACGAAAGGCCATAGCGGGCTCATACATTGATCGTCGAGTGTCGCCACACTACGAAGCTGGTATAGCTGACCAGTTGACCACGCCCCACCAACCAGAACCGACCCCACGGCAATGCGCTCATTAACGGTAATATTTGCGGCAGGACAACACATGCTAGTTACTGCGGCGGTCGGTAATAATGTCCCCGCGGGGACGGCGGAATGGTTAGCAGCGGGGAGCCGCCGCGCCGGAGGCACGTCAGGACTCCTATGCTCCTTCACACGCGGGGTCCACGCACAAAACAGCGTGACGACGCGCGTGGTGTGGGCAAATCGTTACCGTGGAAACCGACGTGCCAGCCACGCCGCCGTCGACGGGACGCGGCAGACATACGACCGAAGGGCGGTCCCCTTTGTCACTGTCAGCAAGCCGTGAGCGTCTCATCGACCCTGCCGGAGTCGCTGGCCAGCCAGTAGTCCTACAGCTAGATGCAATCCAGCGGGAGGGACCACACTCGAAAATGCTCTCAGTCACGTCCAAGGAAAGACCAAGTAAGCAAGTTTCGTATGACGAGGTACTGAACATGCTGACAAGCCCGACCGCACAAGACACCGCACCCTTAGGAGCGCCGGACCGTGACGAGACCTGGCCTGCGCTCACACACCCTCCCCTATCGAACGCCGGCTAATGACGACAGACAGGGGCGCCGTTGTCACACACAGACGGGGCCGGTAATAACTCAACGGGGAGCAGCGGCAGTCATTTGGTCACGCAAAGTATTGGGAAATAAGGTAATGTGTTAAAACTCCGCCGCTAAGGCGATATGTGTAGCACACGAGCGTGCAATTTTGCGGACGGGTAACGGATAATTCGACAGTTGCAGTTGTTCCCACACCGAAATAAGGGGAGCAATTTGCATAACGATGAGGATAAAAGCACAGCATTAAGAGCTCACTCTAACAGTGGGCTGCGTCAGCGAACACAGGACGGGGGCACTGAGGCCATGGGTGTATGTGTATTGTGTATGTATGTATTGTATGTATTACCATCGTGGACAATCCACACGGGGCGTGACGATTGTGTGTGTGTGGTGTGTTGGTGTCAGGCACCGATGAGCGTGGCAGACTAATTTACCGCCCTTTAGACTTATCGTCGGCTGGAGAGGAGAGGGGAGGGGAGGGGAGGGGAGGCTACATTGTCGAGCACCATCCGCTGACACGCAAGGTGATCGAATGAGGGAGGTCTGACGCCTGACGAAAAACGACACCGGAGGGGGATCGCGACCTCAGGTGAAGCCATCAAACTGTTCAGTGTTCACCTTAGTAAGAACAGGACAGCCGAGACGGAGCTGAGCAAGGCCAGGGCTTCAGGATGGACGGACAGGAATGACAGCGCTGAAAAGGGCACCTACATGAGAGCGTCGCACTCCTGATCCAGCGGCGATGTGGGCACCACAGCCCCTCCGCCGGCTCGCCGCTCCAGGCTCAGCTTCAGCGCTGCCGACATGGTCTCAGTTGACCGGGCGACCTGAGCCCAGGTCACGGTCGATCGGTCCACGGAATAGCTCACAGTTCGTCAGTCAGTCACGACTCGTGACTTCGGACACAGGTCTCGCCACCCGTTGCACTCCAGCTTAGTGTGCTAGGCTCAATCTCAGAGTGCCTAGCGGTCGCCCACGGCCTCAGGGCGTCAGAGGTCAGTAGTTTCACAGAAAATGATCGCTCTGCACTTTGCTGTGGCGATCATTACTCTGTCAGACAGCCTCACTGACAGAGGCGCGGCTCCATCGTGAGAGAGCATCCAGCATCACCGGTCTTCCCCGGCCAATGGGATGGTCCCAGTTCAGTGTCTGGTCTCCAACCGACACTGTTATTCAGAGGGCACCGTCCTGTGACACGATCACGCCTGACAGGTCAAGGAGACCCGCTGACACTTCCCGACACACAATGAAACTCTCGCTGACACTCGCCGACTCTCGCTGACACAACGCTGATAAGACTCAGCTCAGTCCCCTAGCTCACACCGCACCTCCGCGATCCCGTCGCGCACAGCTGACTCAGCACTATCAACGGCCTGACCCCCACACCACTGACCACTGACCGTCGACCCGTGACCGGTGCGCCGCAGGCCGCGTGTGACCGCTGCACTGCGGGCCGGCCGCCGCGCCGTCTGTGTCCAGCCCTCCCTGCGTCCCGCCCTCCGTGTCAGTGTAGGCCAGTCAGACGGTTCGATAGTGGCCGACAGGCGCCGGAGGCCGCACAAGTGTTGGCACCGGCGCCGGCGGCCCCGGGCGGCGAGCTGGAGCCGCAGGGGACACGGTGGGACCGCGGGGGACAGTCGAGGGCAAGGGACAGAGTGGACGGAGAGGGAAAGGACGGGAGCGGAGAGGGACAGGGGCATAGGACAGGGGAGAGTAGGCAGACCGACGAACAGGGCTGAGGTGAAGAAGAGGAAAGTCGGGGCGAAGAGAGACAGGAGCGGAGGACAGACAATCTATTCGAGCATTGGACCCCTTCAGCCAGCCGAGCAAAAGCCAGTGATCCAACATTATGTTTGATAAGCGTGACAGCGTCTTCACAGCCGAATGTCAGCCGACAGCAATTGTTTCGACCTTTCGGCTTTGTCGGCAATGACTGCCCTTTGCAGTTAGCAACTTTACAGAAAATCTGCAATCAGTTCCAAAGTTCCAAAGCGTTTCAGCTGAAGTGATGGCTCTTTGAAAAAGTGTTGGTGATTACGGGGGACAAGTTTCAAGTTTTATGCCAGCATAATTGCGCCTTTTAATGACACTGGAGACTGACACGACATTCCACGGACGGCAAACTTAGTCTAAAGAGGGCAGCCAGCCAGGCTCATAGAAACACATCAGACCAGACAAGCAAGACGACAGAAACAAAACGGGCTGAATCGTATGGCCCAAGGCGACGAGTCTGCAGCTACCCGAAAACCACTGCAATTCTGCACTTCTGAGTTCAACGAGTGTTGACTGACGACCTTGCAGCGACTGAATGACGGTTGAAGGATAGCCAGGCAGTCTTCTTGATCCTCGCCCTAGCCAAACACCGTACCTGAATTTTTCCGTTTCGTGAAGGTATCGGATGAATATCTGAAATAATGCAAGTCGGCACGTCTCTTATCGATCGGTGACGCGGAACAGACAGCATGCAGCTCATATAGAAAGATCAGCTTCGAATACGAAAGTATAACATTCCTGCACGCAGCACGGATCGCTATAAACAATAGAATGTAGCATCCGAATGATGCGTGATTTCTTAGTCGAATCAGCAAGCTACCGCATGGTGGTCGATTCGATTGTTTGGCTGGGTTGGGAGGCTTGTCTCCAATTCCGCACATCACAACTCACAACCCCAGAACAATTATTTATCATGATTGCTCATGAAATCTGCAAACCTACCCGAACAGCACGTTTCAATGTTCAGTAGGTACCTATTATGCAGTGAAATACACCTCTAGTAGGATATACGCGACGCCTGTGGCTAGATGCCAGCAGCTTAGTAAGGAGGCATCTGTCAGCGCCGCGTAGCGGTGAAATTCCATACTACTGGTGTGCCAGTACGATGGAAGAGGCAGCACCGTGGCTCTGGCCGCTAGCGCCCTCTGCATAACACGAGCGGGCGAAACCCCTGCAAGTTTCTTCAGCAGGCCTGCCTCTGCCTGCTGGTCTAGCCCTTATTTCAATGGATACCGAGACACCCATGCATGTATATTATGAAATGCAGGTTCTAATGATGGCTACACTAGCCTCGAGAACCCCGTTGACATTGCCGTGTTGTGTTTGACATGCTAAAAGATGCTTCCGGAGATTACCCCCATGGGTATAAACTATAAACTCGTACTGTGATGCCTCTATTCAATTTGAGTTATAAGCGCACCTGATTATCAATGAACTCGGTGGCACGGGCAAGTGTTTTCATAATACAAAAAGTCACTGTGGAGGGGTGAGGCCTTAAGGACAAAAAGCTCACAGGATAGCTCGTCTAGTAGTAATTAATGCCAAGCAGCTAAACCTAGCTGTAAAGTAGCCAAACCTGAAAACAGGTTTAGCATGCAAAGTTCCTAGATGTTGTATTTATCCCTCGGCAAACTTGCCCTGAGCGGTCCCAGTGTCCCAAAATTGTGTTTCGGCTTGGGTGTCAGAGGGAAAATTCCTCTCCAAAAAGGGAGATAAGAGTGGAAAATTCCCCAGTCAGATAACACCCAAAAAGAGTGGAAAAGAGATTAATGGCATACATTTCTATATAATGAGGTAAAATGTAATATTAAAATGACCCAATGCAAATGCTTATTCTCAGTAAGGCTGGGAGTGGAAAATTGCTCTTATATATTAGAGATGAGAGTGCAAAATGATTTTTATTTGTATGTCGTTTCCCACCCAAATCGAAATATTTTGGGACACTGAGCGGTCCACCTGGAGGAGAGCCTCCACCAGTGTACCTCGTGGACAGTGTCCACCATCCAGGTGGACACAAGAGCCACCACCAATCCACCCGGTGGACAGTGCTCACTGCGGTCCACCTGATGCATAAGGGCCCACCCAGGTCCACCTGGTAAATAGTATAAACTCCGATCCCCCTAATAAGCAGGGCCGAACACTGCTCAGCTAATGAGGACATATCCTGGTCCACTTCATAAGTACCTGATTCAACTGGGGCGCCAAACCCCGTTCAACTTGGATACGGCCGATCCTGGCCCATCTTGGATCCACAAGGTGGACAGGGCCACCGTCGACAGATACGGGCCTGAATACAGCGGACCAGCAGTTTTGCCGCGAACAGCAAGCACTAAATACGTATGGTTCAATATGAAAATACAGTACAGTTCCAGCAGCATCACGACGGCAAAGCACACGACGTCGAGTTCCCAAAATAATGTCGACCTGCCAGGCAATTTACCGAGCCTGCACTGGGGAGCTGCACCGATATGTACATTAATCTAGTGCTTACAGCGGATTTCGTAGATACTGAATAATTAATTGCATGGGTATTTCGAGGCACATATGCCGTATATATCCATCAAGTCGACAGCTTATACATTGGCCCTGCCCACATCATAAATTGACGGTTTAAGAGCGAATTTATAGACGATTGTCGGCCTTATCAGGGCAGAGACACGCAATTGTCTTGGGAGAGCCCTTGAAACTTAGACATTTTTAGACTGACTGGAACCATTATGACCGGGCCCTATGGTTTGACATGGAGCCATTCTGTCCCATGTCATCGGTATCATCATAGACCTCTGTATACAGAGGTCTATGCTATCATGGGAGGTTGGAGCCATTTCGCCCTATCTCACCTGAGCAGGCTTGCTTCCTCGGCCAGGGGCATCGTCTGAGATCTCCTGAAACACAGATAGAGCGACACGTCAGTCACGGCCAAACAGACACTCAGCAAAGCGCAGAAGCGGTATGAACTCGGTACAGTCGCAGAGAGGGCCGTGCACCAGTCTCGTCGTCATGTAGACACTCCTAAAAGAAGGTGCATCACATCAAGAAAATCAGTCAATATGCCACATGGTCACCGGTCGATTATATGCATTGTAATTTGTAACTACTTAAATCGTAAAGCTCCCACCTCACCTAAAAGCTCCCACCTCACTGCACCCCTGCCATGGCGTATACTACAGACTGGGAGGGGGCCGGCGGCGCCAGTACCCGGAACTCCACCCAACCCATCCCGCCGGGTCAGCTAGTTATCAGCTGCGACGACGAAGGAACTGCGCCGCAGCATAACTTTGTAACTCTCCCCGGCTGGGACCGGGCTCGTCACAACGACGACAAACAAAGACAGGCGCGACTGCGAGTCAGCCGTTCATGTAATAACATTGATACATGTATCGCTGTGTGCATCGTGCATAAACGTGCAGAGAGGCCAGTGGCGCCTATCGACTGAGCCCCGAGGTATTTCGGGACGGAGTCGAGATAACGGCGTCCGTCCAATATGTCGTCAGCACTCTCAGACCATCGCTTAATTAACCAGACGCCGGACGACGCGGGACGACATGGCTACTGTAGCTAGATACGGCGTCGTGTCGGCTCAGCGGCAGGCCCATGACGCAGGACTGACACACAGGGGACCGGGCGACAGAGAAAGGCACTCTGGGATCGGACTTCTGGGGCACGTCTGCGGACCAGCCGGCTAGGGCTGTGTCAAGGGGGCGACAGGCAGCGAGATTCACATCCGGAGCTGCTTCTGGGTGACAGTGGACTCGCATTCGGGACTGCTGCAGGAGGGTGGCAACTGGCAGATGCAGCAAACTGAAACCAGGAGATCCTGCAGGGAAAGGCGAAAAACAGCGAGATTGAGCGGTCTGAAACCCAGAGCTGCCTCAGAGGAAGCGGAGTACTGAAGCAAACTGCAAACTGAAACTGAGCAAATTGAAAAATGTGGTTTCACGCAACCAAACAGGGACACAAGGGCTATACTGAGCTAGCAGAGTTCGTAGCGACATCAGACATGCCAATATCATTAGTAGGGGTTTTATGTGATGACAATAATCCGACGTTTGGTCCCCGAGTAGGCGGACATTATTCGATTTCACGGGCCCGACGGCCGGCGCCAGCCTAATACCCATGCTTCATTATCAACGTCTGGTTTCAATTGGATCGTTTGGCAGTATTGGATCGCCAATTGATTGGCTCCATGCAATGGCGTTATCGACGGTAGCTCGCTAAGTTAGGGTGGCAGTCCGCAAAGCCCATGGCTACAGCGGCAGATTGATGTTAGACGGCTGGGGGTTTGACAATCGTCCCCGGGGTACCCGTCCCCGGAGACCAGAGGAATCGAAACGACTCACGATCCAGCTCACATTGAGGTCCGTCCCAGGTCAAGGCACCTCGACTGACGATATTCCGACGCAAGTACCAGTACTGCGACTCCCAGTACTCCGACCCACAGTACCGACTCACAACATCCAACTCAAAGCGGTCAACTCATGATGATTGACCTGAACGTACCAAAACTCACGATGCCCCTACCCACGAGGTCCCGACTCACGGTTGCCCCGACTCACGGTTGCCCGCCGCCGATTGCCGCCCCAGTATCGTTCACCAGCGTCATAGCCATCGGTGCTCCCCGCACGGTCCAGCACCCTCGGCTGTACCCCGTCCAACACTCCGTTTGTCACTGTCGTCTGTCGCAGCCGAGCGGGGTGTAAGTACGCAGAACACACTATACGCTGGCTGCACGCCGTGTTTAGATGCGTGAGTGTTTGTCCGAGGCGTTGGCGCCTGGGTTGTATCTCTTTGAGAGTCCGCACCCTGCAGAGATGCGCAGCGAGCAAGAGAGAGAGAGCAGGAGAGGGAGTGAGGGAGAGGGAGAGAGAGAGAGAGAGAGAGAGAGAGAGAGAGAGAGAGAGAGAGAGAGAGAGAGAGAGAGAGAGAGAGAGAGAGAGAGAGAGAGCAAACACCATCAGAAGAGCACACAGACGGCAGCGGTAGCCGTTTTTACGGAAAGTAAGGGGGGTCTTGATAAATGTTGGTTCCGACCGGACAGTGCTGCAGCAAACATTACTGCAGCATATAGCAGACAAAGAGCAAAATCGGTGCAGACTGCAGATCCGTCAAGAGAAGATGGACATCTAGCTGTTTGATGTAAACAAAACAAAACGCAAGGTCATCCGATTGCATCATATCGTATCTTCGGACGGCTGTATGCAACGAATAGCGGACAATCCAGCTATGCCCCAGCATTCGGGTACCAATCTCGAGCTGGAGCGGCATAGCCACCGTATACACCTGATAACATTTAAGTCGCCCCTATGCAATGCACGACAGCTTGGAGCCGCCTGTATACACCGAAGAGCTCTGGAATAACCAGCTTACATCGGACAAGTAGGGCGATCCCAGGACTCCCAAGCACTGTCAGGTGCGGGCCCGACGCCCGTGCCAGCCTTATGATAAGAACGGGGACCGTGTGAGCTGAATCCGGCTGATACATACAAAATAGCGATCGATACACAGTCACATACCAAACCACGCCACACAAAGGAGCCTCACACCACTCTGACGATCCCAACCCAACAGAATGTGGAGACGCCAAAACGGCGCAGTGAAAAGCTCCCTACTCAGTACTCTGATACACGGCAGGATGACGCATCACTGTAGAGAGCGAAATGGGCCGAGGTCAGCCTCCAACCTGAACCACGGGGACGCTCTTGGACGGTCGGAGTCTCTTTAAGACACCATCACACTGGGGCACTGTAGTGCTCACCGCTGTGCTAGTTATCCGGAGCTCACTGCTCACAGTATTGGAGCCATAGGCTAGGCGCCATGGGCTGCAGGACTAGCATGCAATGCAGTCAAAGCAAAGACCGAGAGTTATGGAGCCATGAGAAGGGAACTATGGTGACGTGGACCGAGGGCTCAGAAGCCATGGGCTAGGAGCTACCGGACAATGGACCGGGAGCAGATTATAGAGCCATGGACCGGGAGCCACCCAAGCCCGTATAGTGGACCGGCTCCAGAGACGGACCAATGTATTCCCGGCGCTGCCAGAATTCAGAAACAACCGTGTGCGTGCCTTGAAATATTGGAAAACAGCCAATCCGTGCTGTCGGTGCTAGAAATTCTGAGCGGCGTCATCAAACACGACCTTGGGCTATTCTACGCGGGCGGCCAGCGAATTGGATATCAAAGGCGACCCGATCACTAAATATAAATGAAATCGTAGATGCCCAAGTCTTGACTGAAAGCGTGGCTGGAATATGGAAAAAGGATTACCTTGTGGCACCGTACTGGGCATAGGGGGCACTGATCACTAGGGGGCACATGTTGAAAACAGGTCCAAAGGACCACTGTTCAGAGACGCCCAATTATTTTGCAACAGCCGGCCCAATTCTCGACCTCAAGCTCATGCTTATTGATTAGGTACCAGTCAACGGCGCAGATGTCAAAATTAGACAAAGCAATTCAGCATCGAACATCTACCTATTGGCCCTAATAGATAACCTTTCCCATAAACGTCACACTGTACCCTTCAGGGGAAAAACGCGAAGTGAAAACTGATAAGTTTCATGAACAGCGAGCTACAAACTCCTTAGCTGTTGTGTGAACGCGTGTGTGCGACATATGTTTGGGTTCCAGGGAGCGCCACCATTAAAACCGATCGCCATAAGGTCGGTCTGTCGATATGGAAATGCCAATTCCAGGCTGCGAGGCCGCGTCACGAACCAGGGGGTCTGTGAGGTTGGATAGAGGTGCGAACAGTAAAAGGTCTGTCAGTATGCGGAATGTCACTGGACACTGGTCAGCCGAGGTCGGGGCAGTCTACTCTGGGGGTCTGTTTAGGGGTCTGTCCGCGCCACAGTAAGATGTAAGGTCGGTATGGGCTGTTTAGCAGTGAGAAGGGCCGGAGTGTCTGATGTCTGGTCCGTGCCAAAGTAGGGTCGGTATGACCAGCTCGACTGGGATGGGCTTCATGGTCATATCAGTGTCAGCGTAGTTTGTGTGATCGTTGCGGGTCTGAACTGCCTGCGGGTCTGAGTCAGAGAAGAGCCTGTGTCGTCGGCTGCGGCCGGGACGGTCTATGTAGTGTGGATCTGTAGCTGCATAGCAGTTAGGCGGGGTCGGACTGTCTGTTAGGCAAGACTGTATGCGCCGTGTTAGGCGGAGATGGCCTTACTGTGCCAACGTGCATGGTTTGTAAGGGCTGGGTAGTAGCCGGTCGGCCGGGTGCGGCCGGCACGGAGTTAGACTGTCTGACGGTGTGACTGTGCCGCAGAGAGGGTCTGTCTCTGTGTAGCAGACTGACTAGCAGTCGGCAGGTCGGACTGCCTGAGGGTCTGTCAGTTCCAAAGTGAGTGTATGGGATCGTTAGCAGCCGTGGAGCCGGGCGCGGCCGGGACGCCAGGTGACGCGGGCGCCGCTCGATGGCCGCTCACCGTCACCGCACCGTGCACTAAACCGGGCGCCGCTATCGACGTTCGATATTCTCGGCGGCAGCACGGCAGTCTGACGGCCCGCAGCGGCGCCCCTGCCCCTCCCTGTTTGGCGGCACCACCCCACACTGCAGCAACACAGGCCGGTGGTTAGGTGGGCTCAGACCCCTGGCTGGTGGGCAAGGGAACGAACCCTTGGCCGTTGGACGAGGGTTGGGGTCAGTCAGCCAGGCGTGGGGCGGGGCGGACATGTGGAGACATCGCGGCCACCGACCGGCCGACTCCTTCGAATTCAGACTGCGGCCACGCAATCAATACAACAACCCCGCCGCAGCCTGGCGCCGGGTCAACCTGCCTGCTGCCCCACCCAGGCAGCAGGCGTGAGCGGGTCGGACCGGAAGAGGCTGCCACACCCTGAGGTCAGGTCACTACCAGAGACAGCTGGAAACGAACCGGTCTGACACACCTGTTCACGGCAGCTTGACTGCATCTCGAATCGGGACTAGCCTGCATTATCCCTACGGCATGAAACGACCCAGTCATTCCCAAATATGTAATCAGCTTGCCTCGTCCCAAGGGCTTGAGCCAGCACAGCTGTGCAATCTGATCTGTGGAACCAGTCCGCCTTGTCCCGAGGGTCTGGCATTGTCCGGTTGCTCCCTTTGACCCGGAACCAGCCTGTGTTGTCCCTAGGGTCTGACTCGGTCCAGCGCTGTCCCTTTGACCCGGAACGGAACCACCCCGTCCCTGCCAGAGGTCTTACCCGAGCCGATCCCACCGAGACAATTTCACACTGACCAACAGATTGCTCGAACGATTCTAGACAGGCAGCCCACTCAGTTCCGCCACGAATGAATTTATCGGAGGTTGTCATCTTGGCCTTGTCAGACTCGACTTCGATCGACAGTAACTCGGGCGTCCCGAGCAACCGCTCAGAATTCCATCGGAGCAGTCCGCGAGGCACGTCGCTATCATGCATGACCGATGACACCGTGGATTCTCTGAGTGCCCTCGGCGGACCGACCGTGCCATGCCCTCAGGGGATGACACGTCACAGAGCTGGTGATACCAACACCGTGAAAGGCATTCATCTTCTGCAGCCTCTAGTAGATCACGTCTTATCCTGCAGCCACTGTGGATTCGTTATACTCTATAAACGTTTAATGTATTGAAGAGAAGCTGGAAAGGAATGGGGCGGCCAGCGATAGACAGCTTTACCGTCCAGACAACGAGGGACTGAATTCCGTAGAGAACGTTTTGGAGCGGTGGATGACGTCATCGGCCCATAACGCGGGATGGCTGCTGCCAAAGGCGGATCGCAGGGTATTGTTAATGAGGGCGGCTGGGGAGCGGGACCATGGCTGCCTGCCGCCTGGTGCATTCATAATGTAGGCGACAATCGTCAGTCGGATCGAAACCTGTCATCCATTGAACAGGGCATTGCACTGCGGTACCACCACGGAAAAAAACGTGGTGATCCTGAGCAGCAAGTTAATGTAATAAGTCACTATTCATTGCTCGTGCTTGTTGACGCATAACAGAGATGCATGCATACATACATGCATAGCATACCAACGAAGGTGAATCAGTTTTCTTATCATTTCAACGTTCATTGCGAAACCGTCCAACACAGCGTCAGTCTTTTACATGTCCCGCATTTTCGCAACACTACACACATCCGGCACCACGCAGACCGGTTGGTGAAACTACAGCGAATCCAACAACCCAACAACTCTGCAACAGAGCGCCTACATGCAAACTAAGCCAGCGGTCACGTGCTTCCCTACAGCCGGTTTCTGTCGGTGAATAGAGAGCAGTCCACGGCTGCCGCAGAGCTCAACTCACGAGCTGGGACGCGCCGGGTGGTGCGTGCCACGACGCCGGCGGGCGTACCATCCGTACCACCCGCCGCCGGCGCATAACCGCCAGGATGACGGCCGAATACCGAACGTCACACACAAAAACAGCCAACAAGGCCGGCGTGAGCTGCCGGCGGGCCCGCCGGCGACGCAGCGACCAGACAAGCGGGACAGAGGGTCTGCGTGTTCTATCTCTCTGCAGTGAACTGGAGGGTCCTGTGTCGGCTGCTGTCACCCACGTACTGTTCCATTTTACCTGTACCGTTTATGCGGCCTTTCACCCGCTCAAAAAAACGATGCAATGGCGCGAGTTCTTCACATACTGTTGGCTCACCAGTCTGACACTAGACACAGCGCACTGGTGAGAAAACTGGGCTCATTATCGCCAGCACGAGCTAAGAGGAGAGCGAGAGGACAGCGAGACCGGGAGAGGAGGTCCATCTGCCTCCTACGTAAAGGTCAACGATCGCTACCTGTCCCCGCCGGCCATAAAAACCGGCACTGAACTCGGAACAAGGGGGACCGGATACGGGGATACAACAGTACCACCCCGGATGGATGGTGTACCGATAGGTTCGTCCGTGACCAGCATAGGTCACGGGTCACTGGTGATCGGTGGGTGGAGAGTGGTTTACACCCTGTGATCAGAGTCAACCGGACGCTGGTAATATCGGGGAGGGAGAGAGAGAGAGAGAGAGAGAGAGAGAGAGAGAGAGAGAGAGAGAGAGAGAGAGAGAGAGAGAGAGAGAGAGAGAGAGAGAGAGAGAGAGAGAGAGAGAGAGAGAGAGAGAGAGAGAGAGAGAGAGAGAGAGGACGCTCCCCCGCCAGAGGCGAGGCACAATGCGACGGACGATCCCCACCGGGCGCCCCGAAACACATCATCGTACTATGATGAAATGCCCCTCAAAATGTCATGATGAAAGTGGATGGCGCAACGTGGAAAATTAACGCAGTATGACGCAATACCACAGCCATTACCTACAGGAAAATAACAAACTCACTACCGCATTGCGATTGTGATACTGACCACAATAATACAGCACTCTGCAGACGATGCAAAAAAGCCTGGAGCCTAATGGATCTGGTCAGTTCCATTAGGTCAAAAACCTGACAAAGGTTGTTCTCCCTGTGTACGCCGGACAAACAAGCTGACATCTTCCCCACAGTGGCGGCGGCTGACCGACCACGTTCTGCCAACATCCAAGCCGTGCGATCAGAACGGCCGGGGAGGAGCCTCTATCGAATACTGAGCACACTGGTGATCACTCACTCGCTCGTCATGCCAGTCCAGCCTGAGACGAGCCTAAACTTCCACCAAACTACCGACGGAGACTCTAAAACGGGCGTCCATTAGACGTTCCCAGCGGGCTCTGGCGGCTCCAGCAGGACTCACTCACCTAATGCCGTGTCCCGGCGTCATCTCATCATCGGCCACCTCGCACACAGTCTGTACTCCGGCGTAGCGTCCGGATCGGCCGAACACGCGGCCCAGCTTGCGGTGCAGTCTGTGGAAGCGTCCGCCGCCCTCGGGGCGCGCCAGGCTCAGCACGCTGACCGAGGAACGCAGCCGGTCCCTCAGCGTCGGACGGAACTCGACAGCGTCCAAGTGGTCGGCGTCCAGCGCGGCGTACGAGCGCGTCAGCGCAGGGCGGTTGCTGAGCATGGTGGCAACGCTGGTGGTCCTGGTGCAGGGGCTGGAGACTGACGGATAGCGCAGGCCGACACACGGAAACTGAACCCGAGCGGTTTAAATGTGACGTGGACACCGGTCCGACCGTAGTCGCAGGACTTACTGAGCGGCGAATCCTAACCCAGCCCACGGTCCGGACAAGGCACCAATTGCGAGTTCGAATATGAATGCGGTCGTCCCGTTAGATCTGTGTGCCGCCGCTCGCTGGTCCTCCTCGTCCCTCTTTCAAATTGACTGTCGGCACACCTTCACCCGTTCAACACAAATCGAATTGTCAGCCGCAGCTTGCACAATCCTCGCTCACCAGGCTCGCCTATGTACTCCCGCCGCAGAACGTCGCTCGAGCACCTGACACATCCGCCGCGCACCGTTCACAGCCAACTATGACAGCCGCCACCTGCAGTCGTACCGCCGCTGCCGGCCGTAGTCGACACCGCAAGTGAACAGCTGCCGCCGCCGCCGCTGCCGCCGCTCCCCTCCCGCCGCCCATCGATTGCCGCGCGGCCTTGACTGCGGCGCCGCGCAGGTGAGTCGGTGACGTCACAGGTCGGCGGGACGTCACCGGTTCACCGCGGAGGTGTGCCCGTCTGACCAGTCAGGTGACCGCTGGTCACCAGCCGGCTGCTCTCAGCTGAGCGGATTATGGATGCCGGTCGACCGATCCCGAAACAACGGAGAACAACGAAAACAACTGAAGGAGATTCCACTCCAAAACTTTGGGTCCACGTCAAAACAGCTAGTGACTATTGAGCTAGTGACTTTTGAGCTAGTACAAAAGAGCTAGTGCTTCAAAACAGCTAGTGACAACACAGCTAGCGCCAAAATAGCTAGTAATGCAAAATAGCTAGTGCATTAAATCAGCTAGTGACTAAACAGCTAGCGTCAATATAGCTAGTAGAGCAAAATAGCTAGTGCTTCATTATAGCTAGTCATAAGCGTAGGAACCATGGGTGCAGTGGGTGCAGTTGCACCCACAATAATTCTCCAGTGGGTGCAGACAACGTATTCTGCACCCACAATAATCTGGAACAAAAACCCCTTTTCTCATCAACACTACTTCCCATGCAGCACAACAAATTCAGGATATTTTGCCCACTTTCCACCTTTAGAAGCGTTTGCTACTGTGATGGTCTTCAAAACTTACATTTGCGCTCAAGTAAAAAAGGAAGCAACGGAACACATGTGATTGAACACATACCGATGACCCACTGTCAAAAGTTTTAGCCCGATACCTATCTTCGAAAATGGCTAAGTTAGCCGCATTTAGGTACTTTTTGCGGTAGTCAATATTGACATTATCAACGCTTCTAAATACACTTATCATCGGTAGGTACCTTTTCGACATGGTACACCCTCAAAGCTCACAAGGAGCCTCCGCTCGGGTGCCGCTCCCTACCCCCTCGGCCCTCCCCCCCCCCCCGGCTTCACCGGCCATGGCTGGATTTCTGCACCCATGCACCCACAATGTTCCAGCCGTTCCTACGCCCATGTTAAGCTATATAAATCGCTAGCGTCGACTAATAGCTAATAAGCAAAATAGCTTATTCGTAGAGCAGCTATTATAGATTCTTTCCCGACGAAGAGTCCCCACGGGTAGAAGGAGCAGAAGAGCACCGTAGTTTGACAAAATTATTTGGGATGCTAGGAGGGCAGAGGACGGGATCCCTAGGACAAACAACAAATTAGAAGCGGGGCACCGGGGAATTAAAGAGATGGCATATCGCGGGAAATACATATCGCGGGAAAAAAGTCATAGATATCTTGCATTTTTGAAGCGAAGTGAATGGGAAGGGAACAGAGGTCCAACGAAATTGCTATTTTGACGATAGCTATTTCGTCACTAGCTGTCTTGAGGCACTAGCTCTTTATGCTTCACTAGCTACTTTGACGCTAGCTGTTTTGTCACTAGCTGTTTCTAAGCACTAGCTATTTTGCTTCACTAACTATTTTGACGCTAGCTGTTTTGCCACTAGCTGTTTTGAGGCACTAGCTGTTTTGTACTAGTTCAAAAGTCACTAGCTCAAATGTCACTAGCTATTCTGACGTGCACCCAAAACTTTCAAGTCCATTTCTGGCATATCTTCACCCGCTGGTTATGCTGGCCAGACAAACCAGAATATCAACGAATCATGAATGACTAGGTACCTATCCTGGAAAACTGCATTATGCAAAATGAAAGCATGGAAAACCAGAGACATTTCATAGCGCGATCATTTCACGGAAGAAATCAGTGACGAACAATTCAATTTCAGTAAAATCGAATCATTTAGAAAAGCTTTTTCATTCCAACTGTCTGATCAATAGATGTCGTCGCTCCAAAAGTGACCATGTGATTCAGACTAAACGTCACCCGATCCTGAAGTAACGGTTGTTGGCTGTCACTGACCAAACCTGTATGGAAGGAGATTTGAATAGTACCGATGACCGCGCGCCCATAGTTTCCTACGAACCGCAGGAGCGGCCTAAGCCGAGGCGCCTGTCACTAGAAAGGCCCAGCAGGGGCGGGCGCTGTGTAAGTGTCCACGTGTATCGGGTGCCGGCCATTTGGCGCCCACTTCCGATCACAGCCAGTATATCTTCCGATCGACAGGTGCAGGTATCGGAAACACGGCTCTACTAAGGGACAGGGCCGTGTTTTGGACGGGACAGGGCCAGCCCCAGTCCAACGACATGAAGTCGCTGACCAAAGGTCCAGCACGAAAAACGAGAACAATGGCAAAACTGCACTTTGTGTGACATAACGATAGGTTGGGTGGATACCCTTCCACGTGTGAAGCCTGGCCAGGCGACACACGAAAAAAAATGTTACCGACATTATCAGATTCCGTCCCGTTCTGCAACGAAACCCCTACAAAGTGACAGCAGTGTTTCCGTCCAATCACTGGGTTAAGCGTCGAGGCGACTGTTTTACCTAACGTAAGTTTTCAAGTCCGGTGCGTTCACGGATCTAGAGCGGGGGTCACTGTCGGAACGCTGTCAGAACTCACAAGTTGAAGGTGTGAGCAGTCCGCTCCACTCGTCGGGCGTCCACAGCAGCATGAAGGTCAGGGCAGCAGTCAGGGATCAAGGATGAGTCAGGGATCAGACGCGCAAAAGGAAACGAGCAAACGGGACGAGAAGCAAATAAAAAAAGAAACACCGGGACTTTCAGAAATTGACTGTAAAGCGCGTCGTGATCGAAAGAAATCCCTCTTGAGTGTCTAATGCCTTTGTAAACGCTAAAGACAGTCAGACTTTGTCCACAGCAACAGCCGGTTGCCGAATTCCCGATGGATTTTCAGCGGGTCGCCGATCTCCGGGAACCGCCGATCGGTAAGCGGTGACTCATTCAGGCTGGTGATGGCTCCAGTCGGCCCATATCGCTCTGGGGACGGCGGGTTGGCGTATTCGGGGAAATAGTTGGCAATTGGCATATCGATGGCTCCAGACAACAGATTGGTCGTCTGCAACTGGCAACACCCCACCCACTGCTGGATGGGGGTGGGGGTGGGGGGGGGGGGGGGTGGAAAGGTGAACAGCCAGCGACACGATTTTCGCCGAATATTAACAGCGGTAGCGCACTTAATGAGAAATATTTTTTTGCACATGTGAAAAGTTCAACACAGGACTCATAAGGCCAGGTCACCGGGTCCCATCAAGTGACCTTACCTTTAGAAATCGTAATGCTCGCGATAGTTACACCGAATGAACAATTTATTTGTGACTTGTCGATTGTCACGATTGAGTGACATAACTGTAACGGACAAAATGCATATCTTGTATCATGGACCTCTGTATACTGATATACAGAGGCCTATGCTTGTATTTTACATTTATGACCAAGGGTCAGGTCAATCTTGCGCCAACTTCTTCATTTATAAGTGAGGTGCAAAAACTGATCTGCACCCTTTTTGGACGAAGATTCTAAAAACATCGTTTAACAGGTGGCAACTGGTAAGCGTTGAAAACCAATCGGCAGCAGGCACGGGTGACCCCACCTTTGAACCGTAAGGTCATCAATTACGGTCATGAACGGTCACCATTAGCTTTTTCTAACATAACTTAAGATCGTCATAGCACATGCTTGTGCTGGAGTGATGAAAACAACTTGGATGTGTACTGTTCACTGTTCAGCTCATCAATTCAACAATACGACTTAACCGTAAGTGGCATGTCAATGACCTTTTCCGGCCAATCCAAGTTACTTGGGAACCTTAGATCACAATTTGCCTGTTTAGACATTTTAGGTAAATCAGTGCATAACTCTAACCAGCAGAGCTACAGCACCGAGGAAAAGTACTTTCAGTACCTCATTTACGGCTTTTTCGATAGGTATTGCCCCGAGTTGACCTTATATCAATAGTTTGCTTCTTGTAGTCCCCAGAGGGCAAACGTCGTCAGCATGACAGTTTTTATTTTAAATGTGTGCTGCAATAACTTTTGATGTGAAGCTTTCGCGATTTTGATTTTACCGGTAGGTACCCATCGCTCTTCCCGAGACTCTTCGAATTCTACCATAAAGGCCAATTTGACAATATGACATCAGGTCAAGGTTTGGTGACCTAAGCTTTGAATTGATGTAGGTAAAATAATAATAACTCAAGTTTAATTTAAACAAAATTTGGATGCCCATTTGAACACAAGATTTGAGCTTACCAAGTGTCCCTGCACAGCCTATAAATGCGCAAAGCAGCATATACCACTGCGTGCTACAAAACGTTTTAGTCAAACATTTAACGGACGTTCGAAAGCCTGATGACGTCATCAGATTCCCGTAATGGTTCAGAGATAGGGACCATGCTGGTCCCACCCTGCAAGTAAAGGGAAGAAATTTCTTGAACACCATAAAGCTGCGGGGGTTACGACCAGGATAAATGGTGGTTTCTGAGCCTGGCCGCAAACTTGGCTATCTCAACTCAAAACTAATGTTAAGGTGGGAGGGTCCCTTTAAGTTTGAATTCTGATTTCTGATTCATATCAATGAATCATGATGGAAATCCTTAACAATTGCACAGCCATGCAATGTTATCCAAATTTATTGCAGTGCATCATTTATTTACAAACATATCAAACAAACATGAATCTTGCAAAGGTATGAATTTTGACCTAAGCTCAAGCTACAGGACGATTTCAATTTTAGCCTGTGTCAAGGCTATATAAACCTATAAACCGCCCGTGTTAAACCTAATTCGCCTAAGCAATGGTCTCCATGAAACACAAAAACCGATCCTCAATTTTAGGTATCCAATCCATTAGACATGAAAAGCTACTGCAAAAGGGAATTACAATTTTTTTGAAATTCAGATCAAGATGAGATTCAGGTTATTTAGGAGGGGAAAACATCCTGTTTTTACTTCAAGATGAGATTATGTGCACTTACTTTTGAAGACAAATTGAAGAGAAGGCGCAGTCGGCTGGGCTTGTCAGTAACCGATTAAATCATAAATCCAAGGCTTTGCCTTATGCCTGTTTCCTATCTTATGTGGAGTGAAGATGCAACGCAGTTGATCGCGTTTCTCGG